ATCTCTGCCAAGAAATTTGGAAGACAACTATCTGGCTGACTGATTGGAAGAGATCCGTATTTGTGCCCATTCCAAAGAGAGGTTACCCAATGGAATGCAGAAATTATCGGACAATCTCATCGATATCCCATGCGAGTAAAGTTTTACTAAGGTAATACAGAAATGGCTGCAAGCATACATAGACAGAGAACTTCCAGATGTTCAATCCGGATCCAGAAGAGGATTAAGGGAATAAGGGATATCATTGCTGATGTCTGATGGATCTTGGCTGAAAGCAGAGAATATCAGAAAGATATTTTCCTGTGCTTTATTGACTATGCAAAGGCTTTTGATTGTGTGGATCATGGCAAGCTATGGACAACATTGCAAAGTATGAGTATATGAGTATTCCGGAACACTTAATTGTGTTCACGAGGAATCTGTACCTGGACCAAGAGGCAGTTGTTTGAGCAGAACATGGGAATGTTGAATGGTTTAAAATTGAGAAAGTTGTGCGACAAGGTTGTGTTCTTTCATCATATTTAGTCAACCTGTATGCTGAGCAAATAATCTGAGAAGCTGGGTTCTATGAAGAAAAATTAGGATTGGAGGAAGACTCATTAACATCCTGCGATTTGCAGATGATACAACCTTGCTTGCTGAAAGTGAAGAGGACTTAAAATATTTACTGATTAAGATCAAAGAGTACAGCCTTTGGTATGAATTACATCTCAATGTCAAGAAAACAAAAATCCTCACCACTTGGCCAATAAATAACTTTCTTATCAATGGAGAAAAGATTGACTTTTCTCTTGGATCTTCATTCTTCTTGGATCAACTATCAACACTCACAGAAGCAGCAGTCAAGAAATCAAATGATGTATTGCATTTGGCAAATCTGCTGCACAAGATCTTTTTAAAGTGTTGAAGAACAAAGATGTCAGCTTGAGGACTAAGGTGTGCCTGACCCAAGCCATGGCATTTTCAATAATCTCATATGCATATAAAAGCTGGACAGTGAATAAGAAAGACCGCAGAAGAATTGATGATTTTGAGTTTTGGTGTTGGAGGAGAATATTGAAAGTGCCATGGGCTGGCAAAAGAACCAATAGATCTGTTTTGGAAGAAGTGCAGCCAGAGTGCTCCTTGGAGGCCAGGATAGGCAAATTTCGTCTCTTATACTTTGAACATATGGTCAGGAGGGTGCAGTTGCTGGAGAAGGATATCATGTTTGTTAAGGTGGAGGATCAGAGAAAAAGAGGAAGACCCCCAACGAGATGGATTGGCCAAGTGGCAGCATTGATGGACTCAAGCATGGCAACAATAGTGAGGTTGGCCCAGGACCGGGCAATGTTTCATTCTGCTGTGCGTCAGTACTGACTCGATGGCACCTAACAACAACACCATATAGATAGAAAGATAAATATAGATGTACCCATCTCTCTATCTATCTGTATACATATACACAACACACACACACATATATATATATATATATATCTTGTATATGTGATGTATGCATACATATATAATCAATTTAAACCGTACCTGGTTAACATCTCCTAGAGACTCATGAAATAGTAGCTATCATTATTATATTATTGTTATTGTTAGGTGCCATTGAGTTAATTCTAACTCATAGTGACTCTGTATAGAGTTTCCGAAGAGCAGCTGTTGGGTTTGAACCACCAACCTTGTGGTTCTCAGTCCAGTGCTTATGTGACACTACCACAGCAGGACTCCATTGTTGTTATATAGAGAGTATTATTTGTTTGCTTTATTGCATTTTTAACAATAAATATATAAACACTTAATGCCCAGCTGATCTCTAAAAAAAGTGTAGTTGTTGTTGTTGTTGTCAGGTGCCAT